TTTGTATGAAGTAGATACATGTATAATGTTGTTTGAAGACTAAGGATGTAGATACATGTATAATGTTGTTTGTAGGATGAAGATACTTGTATAATGTTGTTTGTATGAAGTAGATACATGTATAATGTTTTTGGTATGGTTTCGTCAATGCTACATGTATCTTGCCTGTGTGATGCTGTAACTATGATGTTGATATTATGATGTTGTCATTGTAATGTAGTCATTTTGTTGTTTCTAGTGGAATGTTGTCACTATGATGTTGTCAGTGGTCATTTCAGGTTTGGATGTACCTGGTTTCCTACATGGCAGTAACTATGATGATGTATGATGTTGTCAGTGGCCTGTTTCAGGTTTAGATTTACCTGGTTTCCTACATGGCAGTAACTATGATGATGTATGATGTTGTCAGTGGCCTGTTTCAGGTTTAGATTTACCTGGTTTCCTACATGGCAGTAACTATGATGATGTATGATGTTGTCAGTGGCCTGTTTCAGGTTTAGATTTACCTGGTTTCCTACATGGCAGTAACTATGATGATGTATGATGTTGTCAGTGGCCTGTTTCAGGTTTAGATTTACCTGGTTTCCTACATGGCAGTAACTATGATGATGTATGATGTTGTCAGTGGCCTGTTTCAGGTTTAGATTTACCTGGTTTCCTACATGGCAGTAACTATGATGATGTATGATGTTGTCAGTGGCCTGTTTCAGGTTTAGATTTACCTGGTTTCCTACATGGCAGTAACTATGATGATGTATGATGTTGTCAGTGGCCTGTTTCAGGTTTAGATTTACCTGGTTTCCTACATGGCAGTAACTATGATGATGTATGATGTTGTCAGTGGCCTGTTTCAGGTTTAGATTTACCTGGTTTCCTACATGGCAGTAACTATGATGATGTATGATGTTGTCAGTGGCCTGTTTCAGGTTTAGATTTACCTGGTTTCCTACATGGCAGTAACTATGATGATGTATGATGTTGTCAGTGGCCTGTTTCAGGTTTAGATTTACCTGGTTTCCTACATGGCAGTAACTATGATGATGTATGATGTTGTCAGTGGCCTGTTTCAGGTTTAGATTTACCTGGTTTCCTACATGGCAGTAACTATGATGATGTATGATGTTGTCAGTGGCCTGTTACAGGTTTAGATTTACCTGGTTTCCTACATGGCAGCAACTACCTCCTACCCTGGGACATCACTGCCAAGATTGAGAAGGAAAAATGGCCGTCTGTTGGAGAGATGGCATCAAGGAAGGGCAAGCAGAAGAAGATCAGTCCTAAAGGTATTTAACACATTAGTCTACAGGGCCTCTGTCGCAGATTCAATATAATATGTCTAATATGATTTCGGTACAATTAAGAATAATATTAATAAAATTAACATATCATGAAATTATAAATAAACATTTTCTCAGATATTGAAGCATACATTCTAATAATCTTCTGTGCAGATGTTGGCGAGTTGAGTGTCCGTGTGTATCTGGGAGATGAGTATGAATGCCCACGTGGCCATAGATTTTTCTGCAGCGGCCCAGAGAAAATCATCAAGGTCTCCAACACAAGTACTGTCAAGGTCAGTGTCTGTTTTAAGGTCAGTTTTATCCCCTGCCATAGTAAGTTCTGTATCCGATCCCAGTCCTGTCAATGTCTGTTGTGTGTATGTCAAGGTCACCAGTGTCCCCTGCCAAGGTCAGCAATCCCAGTACTGTTAATGTCTGTTGTGTGTATGTCAAGGTCACCAGTGTCCCCTGCCAAGGTCACCAATGTTNGTCCTGTCCCCACTGCAGGTAAGTTATATAGATATGTCTTTGTATTGGTCCTGTCCCCACTGTAGGTAAGTTACATATAAATGTCTTTGTATTGGTCCTGTCCCCACTGTAGGTAGGTTATATAGAATTGTCTTTGTATTGCTCCTCTCCCCACTGTAGGTAAGTTATATATATATGTCTTTGTATTGGTCCTGTCCCCACTGTAGGTAAGTTATATATAAATGTCTTTGTATCAAGGTCACCAATGTTCCCTGCCAAGGTCAGTTGTGTATAAAATCCCAGTATTGTTACTGTCTGTTGTGTCTATGTCAAGGTCACTAGTGTCCCCTGCCAAGGTCACTTGTGTATTCAATCACAGAACTGATAGTTTTCATCAAAAGAAGGCTCACCTAACCAATCAGTCTTTTGTTGATCTATAACACATCTGTCTGGTAACCCAGATGACTTCAAGTACATTGTCTGTTAAAGTTCTATCTGTTAAAAATTTCACAAAATATTGATGACAACATTTATAATTGACCGATATTTACACTTTACAGGACAACGCCACAAAGCTAGTAAACCTGGATATGCCTTTGTATTGCTCCTGTCCCCACTGTAGGTAAGTTATATAGATATGTCTTTGTATTGCTCCTGTCCCCACTGTAGGTAAGTTGTATAGATATGCCTTTGTATGACTCCTGTCCCCACTGTAGGTAAGTTATATAGATATGTCTTTGTATTGCTCCTGTCCCCACTGTAGGTAAGTTATATAGATATGCCTTTGTATTGCTCCTGTCCCCACTGTAGGTAAGTTATATAGATATGCCTTTGTATTGCTCCTGTCCCCACTGTAGGTAAGTTATATAGATATGCCTTTGTATTGCTCCTGTCCCCACTGTAGGTAAGTTATATAGATATGCCTTTGTATTGCTCCTGTCCCCACTGTAGGTAAGTTATATAGATATGCCTTTGTATTGCTCCTGTCCCCACTGTAGGTAAGTTATATAGATATGCCTTTGTATTGCTCCTGTCCCCACTGTAGGTAAGTTATATAGATATGCCTTTGTATTGGTCCTGTCCCCACTGTAGGTAAGTTATATAGATATGTCTTTGTATTGCTCCTGTCCCCACTGTAGGTAAGTTATATAGATATGCCTTTGTATTGCTCCTGTCCCCACTGTAGGTAAGTTATATAGATATGCCTTTGTATTGCTCCTGTCCCCACTGTAGGTAAGTTATATAGATATGCCTTTGTATTGCTCCTGTCCCCACTGTAGGTAAGTTATATAGATATGCCTTTGTATTGCTCCTGTCCCCACTGTAGGTAAGTTATATAGATATGTCTTTGTATTGGTCCTGTCCCCACTGTAGGTAAGTTATATAGATATGTCTTTGTATTGCTCCTGTCCCCACTGTAGGTAAGTTATATAGATATGTCTTTGTATTGCTCCTGTCCCCACTGTAGGTAAGTTATATAGATATGTCTTTGTATTGCTCCTGTCCCCACTGTAGGTAAGTTATATAGATATGTCTTTGTATTGCTCCTGTCCCCACTGTAGGTAAGTTATATAGATATGTCTTTGTATTGCTCCTGTCCCCACTGTAGGTAAGTTATATAGATATGTCTTTGTATTGCTCCTGTCCCCACTGTAGGTAAGTTATATAGATATGTCTTTGTATTGCTCCTGTCCCCACTGTAGGTAAGTTATATAGATATGTCTTTGTATTGCTCCTGTCCCCACTGTAGGTAAGTTATATAGATATGTCTTTGTATTGCTCCTGTCCCCACTGTAGGTAAGTTATATAGATATGTCTTTGTATTGCTCCTGTCCCCACTGTAGGTAAGTTATATAGATATGTCTTTGTATTGCTCCTGTCCCCACTGTAGGTAAGTTATATAGATATGTCTTTGTATTGCTCCTGTCCCCACTGTAGGTAAGTTATATAGATATGTCTTTGTATTGCTCCTGTCCCCACTGTAGGTAAGTTATATAGATATGTCTTTGTATTGCTCCTGTCCCCACTGTAGGTAAGTTATATAGATATGTCTTTGTATTGCTCCTGTCCCCACTGTAGGTAAGTTATATAGATATGTCTTTGTATTGCTCCTGTCCCCACTGTAGGTAAGTTATATAGATATGTCTTTGTATTGCTCCTGTCCCCACTGTAGGTAAGTTATATAGATATGTCTTTGTATTGCTCCTGTCCCCACTGTAGGTAAGTTATATAGATATGTCTTTGTATTGCTCCTGTCCCCACTGTAGGTAAGTTATATAGATATGTCTTTGTATTGCTCCTGTCCCCACTGTAGGTAAGTTATATATATATATGCCTTTGTATTGCTCCTGTCCCCACTGTAGGTAAGTTATATATATATATGCCTTTGTATTGGTCCTTCCCCACTGTAGGTAAGTTATATAGATATGACTTTGTATTGGTCCTTTCCCCACTGTAGGTAAGTTATATATATATGTCTTTTTATTGCTCCTGTCCCCACTGTAGGTAAGTTATATATATATGTCTTTGTATTGCTCCTGTCCCCACTGTAGGTACTGGTAAGTTAGATGTGCTTGAATTCTAACAATTAAAATACTTTTTTTTTTAATTCATTATGAAAGAGGTTAATTGAGTTATATTAATCACTCTTGTTAGCCAGGATGGAAGAACGAAGTGGGTCTTAGTGTGGAAGGAAATCAGAGGAGACACTTGTTTTCCGGCAGGTATACTGTCAGGGAATCTTACCAAGGCCATATAGGTGAAATAGGAGTGTGTCACCTGCTGCACCACCTAACCGATCACCTTTAACAGTTACATATGTCAATCTGTTTATTTGTATATAAATACCAATACTAGGTTATGGTTTACTCCCTCACAATTGTTGGTATGTTGCAGTTCAGAAATGTTCGTGTTTTTTAAATGAATTTAAATTCTTGTTATGTAAGAATTCATTACAACTTCTGACACTCAATGGCTGTCCTGGTTGTTTCCAGGAGTTCGAAGGGCTACATGGCCCAGCTGATGCGTCTGTACATCGTGACACCCGACAGCCCCCTGAGGATCACCCTTTGCCCCCAGATACAACCAGCACCCCCACCCTGCCCTCTGTTTGGACTCGGAATAGAAGGACCTGTGGAACTACAGCCTGGCGGACTCTGGTGTCTGCGAATACCGTATCCTTACTCCATACCTTTTCAGCAAGACAGATTCGGGCAAATGAAGTGAAATTTTATGATAAACCTCCCATATTTAAATTGAACAAAAAAACTTTATTTTTTGGTTGATGTAATTTTTTATTTAGATTGACAGTAAAAATTCTCTGTTTTTGATTGAATTTAAAATTTATCTGTAGATTGAGTAACACAAATATTTATTTTTATTTCCAAGTAAAATCTTGGTTACGTTGTAAAAAAGCTGTCTAGATTTAGTGTAATATGTCTGTTAAGATCGAATATTAAAACTTTGTTTACATTGATTTCAGAAATTCTTTTGGTTTAGATTAAGTGTGAACATTTGTATTTTGCCAAATCCATTTTACCATATATTTGACCTTGACCTTTGTGCAGACATGTGTACCTTGGTGATACCGGGCCATATACCATGCCCTCTGACCCCCAGAGTCTACAGCATTGTCACATGCTGAAAGGTGTGTACAGCTACAAAATTTCCTCTGCAGACTCCTGAAGGACTTCTCACCATTGAGGAGAGCTCACCATCACTCTCTGGACTCCGGAAGGACTTGTTAGGATTTGGGACAGGCCACTAAACCCCCAGGACTCCAAAAGGGCTTATTGCTATTTGAGACAGGCCACTCAACCCCGGGACTCCAAAAGGACTTATTGCTATTTGAGACAGGCCACTCAACCCCCAGGACTCCAAAAGGGCTTATTGCTATTTGGGACAGGCCACTCAACCCCCGGGACTCCAAAAGGGCTTATTGCTATTTGAGACAGGCCACTCAACCCCGGGACTCCAAAAGGGCTTATTGCTATTTGAGACAGGCCACTCACCCCCCAGGACTCCAAAAGGACTTATTGCTATTTGGGACAGGCCACTAAACCCCCAGGACTCCAAAAGGGCTTATTGCTATTTGGGACAGGCCACTCAACCCCGGGACTCCAAAAGGACTTCTTACAATTTGGGACAGGCCACTCAACCCCCGGGACTCCAAAAGGGCTTATTGCTATTTGGGACAGGCCACTCAACCCCAAGGACTCCAAAAGGACTTATTGCTATTTGGGACAGGCCACTCAACCCGGGGACTCCAGAAAGAGGGAGGGTACGTATGTAGTGGATGGATCATTGCCTAATCCAAAGTCTCCAGAAGAATTTGTCATCATTCAAGAGAACCCACCATCACTCTAAGGACTCCAAAAGGACTGGGCACCATTTGGGAGAGATCATCTCCAAATGTCTGGACTCTAAAAGAATTTGTCACCTACCCTACAGACTCCAGAAGGACTATTAAGGAGGTACTAGGCCCCATTGCCAAGCCTATTTGAGATGGTGTTAATCCATGCACTTAAACCTACAGGAAAATATAAATGGTACCATCCAAAATCAGCAGGATATCAGCGGCCACCATTGTCTGGATAAGGCCGCGACCTGAAGGAAGTGATGATGTAACGTCTATCACTGGGAAACAGTTAAGGATGTCCTGATAATGACAAACGTAGCGTCAAGTTTACCACTGTAGTGACAGCCATGTGGGGATAAGTTTACCACTGTAGTGACAGCCATGTGGGGATAAGTTTACCTCAAGTTTACCACTGTAGTGACAGCTATGTGGGGGGTAAGTTTACCACTGTAGTGACAGCCATGTGGGGATAAGTTTACCACTGTAGTGACAGCCATGTGGTGATAAGTTTACCACTGTAGTGACAGCCATGTGGTGATAAGTTTAACACTGTAGTGACAGCCATGTGGCGATAAGTTTACCACTGTAGTGACAGCCATGTGGGGATAAGTTTACCACTGTAGTGACAGCCATGTGGTGATAAGTTTAACACTGTAGTGACAGACATGTGGCGATAAGTTTACCACTGTAGTGACAGCCATGTGGGGGTAAGTTTACCACTGTAGTGACAGCCATGTGGGGGTAAGTTTACCACTGTAGTGACAGCCATGTGGGGGTAAGTTTACAACTGTAGTGACAGCCATGTGGTGATAAGTTTAACACTGTAGTGACAGCCATGTGGGGATAAGTTTAACCACTGTAGGGACAGCCATGTGGGGATAAGTTTACCACTGTAGTGACAGCCATGTGGGGGAAAAGTTTACAACTACAGTGTTAATAAAGGATTTGGTGTCGAGTCTACCACTATGGTAATGGTGAAACATGCCAGTGGTTCATTTCTTTGTGACATCACAGATCTTGTCCCGCAGTTTACCACTATGGTAATGGTGAAACATGCCAGTGGTTCATTTCTTTGTGACATTACAGATCTTGTCCCGGAGTCTACCACTATGGTAATGGTGAAACATGCCAGTGGTTCATTTCTTTGTGACATCACAGATCTTGTCCAAGAGTCTACCACTATGGTAATGGTGAAACATGCCAGTGGTTCATTTCTTTGTGACATCACAGATCTTGTCCCAGAGTCTACCACTATATGGTAATGGTGAAACATGCCAGTGGTTCATTTCTTTGTGGCATTACAGATCTTGTTCTTGATGTTAGTAACTTAGGTTTTAACTACGCAATATTTGTAAAGATTTTGAATCAAAATACAAAATGGTATTGGTTTTATAATGTTAACAAAGGAGAATCTGCTCTGATGTTGTTGTATAATTTCAGTTTGTATGTGGAATTATGGTTATCAAAAAAATATTGTGGTTTCAGATTGTAAGGTATGTGGAATTACTTAACTAGAAATATTTGCTTTTGTTATTAATTGCATTTTCACCTCACTGTAGAATACTTGCACACTGTATACTGCTTAAAATAAGTTTGTAAACAGTGTTTCTTCTATCATTGTACATATCCACAATAATATAATCATCTTAACAATGGGTTTTGTTTTGCCTATAACATGGGCAACATACAGGTAGTCTTAACTACTTTTTCTATTTTATTGTATGTCATATGGGTCTGTATGCGTGATGTGCTGTTGTTTTATGTATGTATATATAATGTGTTTTACAGGGCCATATTGTAACTAGATGAAAATCTAAATATGTTACCCCGTCTAAATAAAAAGAATTTATTACTTTGTCGGCGTCGGCGTTGTCAGTTACGTCGTCCAAAACAAGGTTTCCATTCTATAACTTGATAGAAATTATGTTTCTGTGCGATAACTTGAGTTTCTTTAGGTCTATCCAGCTCAGACTTCAAACAGTACTTCCCTACTAAAAGAGCTTGCTTGGGATTGCTTTTCAGTCTTGAAGATCAAAGGTCAAGGTCAACATTACTATAAATAGAAAATCTGTTTCCGTGAAAAAAAATAATCTTGCTTGTAACAAGCATTTTCATTGGCTTAAAAATTTATGTTATCAGCCCATAACCATTTTGACTGGCTGATACAGCAGCGCAATCATTTCTAAGAGAAAAGAGTCCATCAATAAAAGTGGATTTCCACAGGGATTGTGTAAAGTAGATTAAATTATAAGGATTAACTTGAATATATTTTTCATGTTATGGAACTATAACACAAAAAACCGGAGTGTACTCTCATCATAAACCGGGTTTATTTAGAGTACACTCCATTTATTTTGTTATATCTCCATAACATGAAAAATATATTCAAGTTAATCCTTAAATAACTAGAGTTTCTTTGGGTTGATCAAACTCAGACTTCATACATTGCTTTCTTACCAATAGGGATTGCTTATCAGGTTTGAAGGTCAAAGGCCAATGTCGCTGTTACTATAAATAGAAAAAATGTTTCCGAGCAATAACTCCAGTTTCCATGGGCCGACCCTTGAGTTGATCGAAGTCACGGTTAATATAAATAGATCCGTGTTCATAATCTAATTAGAGTTGCCTTTGTAGGTGACACATCCACTCCTGTAGGATGCTCATTGGTTTTTTGGCAATTAAAGCATGTAGCTCCAACATGACAAAAGGATCTCATTCTAACAAGATCTAGTCATAAGAGATTCCACAAGTAAAACTGGTACCTGGGCCTGTATTCATGAAACCGTTCCCATGCTCAAGCATGGATTCTGTGCTCGTACCAATTTTCTTGTAACTCACTTACAAAAGATCAAAAAGTCAAATGAAAACATTAAAAATAATATTTGGCTTTAATTTTCCTCAATTTATTTCCAAATCATTGACAAAATAAGATATTTTTAAAAATTCATAGCAGGAACAAGAAATTAGGCTTGAGCAAAAAATCCAAACTTGAGCGTGAGAACGGTTTCATGAATATGGGCCCAGGTATGATGTTGACAGATTTTGACATGTATGCATACATTTTGATTTGTGTAATGTATAACACTATATGTCTATATATAAAGAAATGATTGTCTTTCCAAAATGAAGTGTAGTTCTAGGATGGTACAATTAACATGAGTGAGGTAACCGATCCTGTTTCAGACACGGTACTCTATACTATATATAGGTTCTGGTGTAGATTTACTGTACACAGTTCTGTAGTTTGGTGAATACATTGTTGTTATTGTCTTTTGTCATTTGTATTGTTATTGTTTATGTAATTTTAAAAGTTACTGTGTAGTAAAATTCTCCATACTAAGTAACAAATGTTCTATGAAATAAAACATCAGAAATCTGCAAGATTGAATTCAGTTTGTTTCTTTATTTATCACTTACCATTATTACACTTAAGGTTGACCAAAGCTTTAAGGTATGCCTGCACAACATGGCTTAGTTTTATGTCCCTGGAATTTGATAAATATTTTATTTTTTATTTTGGATTATCTTATTGCTAACATCTTAGATAAAAGAGAAATTGGACAACAGCCTGTGTACACCCTCTCCTTACAATAATAAACAGTGAACATCTGTGTATGCCCTCTCCTTACAATAATAAACAGTGAACGTCTGTGAACACCTGTGTACACCCTCTCCTTACAATAATAATCAGTGAACACCTGTGTACACCCTTTCCTTACAATAGTAAACAGTGAACGTCTGTGTACACCCACTCCTTACAATAATAAACAGTGAACGCCTGTGTACACTCTCCTTACAATAATAAACAGTGAACACCTTTGTACCCCCTCTCCTTACAATAGTAAACAGTGAGGCCTGTGTACACCCTTTCCTTACAATAATAAACGGTGAACACCTGGGTACACCCTTTCCTTACAATAGTAAACAGTGAACATCTGTGTACCCCCTCTCATTACAATAATAAACAGTGAACACCTGTGTACTCCCTCTCCTTACAATAATAAACAGTGAACACCTTTGTACACCCTCTCCTTACAATAGTAAACAGTGAGGCCTGTGTACACCCTTTCCTTACAATAATAAACAGTGAACGTCTGTGTACACTCTCTCCTTACAACAATAAACAGTGAACGTCTGTGTACGCCCTCTCCTTACAATAACAAACAGTGAACGCCTGTGTACACTCTCTCCTTACAATAATAAACAAATAATAAACAGTGAACGTCTGTGTACCCTCTCTCCTTACAATAATAAACAATGAACACCTGTGTACACCCTCTCCTTACAAGAATAAACAGTGAACACCTGTGTACACCCTTTCCTTACAATAGTAAACAGTGAACGT